ACTACAGCATCTACACACATGACTTGCTGTTTGAGGTATCCACTACTGATAGACTTTAGTTTGCATATTTTATCAGAGTTTGACATTACTGACACATTTTCATCCAAAGATTCTGAGAAATTTATTACTATTTTTGATGAGAATATTACATGTACCCATAGTCAGCTGGCATACATGTACAAGTAATAATAAAATAAATGTGAATAATTTACTGATATTTACTGTATGGGAATGACCATCTTGAATGCGACTTGAAACTAAATAAGAGACAAATTGTGAAACAGGTTTTCCAGTTTCCTGAAAATCAGGAAGAAAATACCAAACTTTTTCAGCCAAACAATCCTTTGGGGTAAGATTAAACCAATCAGAATCAAATTTGACAGATTCATCGTTTTTGCATGGAAAATGTCTTGCATATGAACCCCTTGTTACAAGCCGCAAAATTGAAATTAGTTTAAGGTTAAATCAGGATAAACACACATGCTATAGATTAACTGATTTGCAATTGACATGCATTTTCAGAGGCATTTTGCTGTGTTCAACCTGCCAGAACCTAGAGACAATGCTCTGGAATCTATTGTCACAGCTATACTGGAAACCAACATGACCAAGAATGATTCTCCAGGATTGATGCAAGAATTACATGAATCTATTGTGAAAGCATCATGTAAATTATTGACATCAGTACAAGATGTCTTAAGACCTACACCAATGTCTGGAAGATACCACTATTTATTTACATTGAAAGACTTGACTGTAGCATTCCAGGTAATGAGATATTTTATTTTCAAATTGGTGTATTGTCATTGTTTATGTGAAATCCTGGCTGCAGATTATGATAAATGAATTGGGAAATATTGTAATGCATTTCTGTTATCATATTCAGCTCCGCTGTCGACTTTGTCGAGTGGAGCTTATCGTATGAGTGATTGTCCATCGTCGTCGTTCATGTCAATGTTTTACTTTTTCGACTTCTTCTTGAAAACTACAAGCCTGAATGCTTTGATACTTGGTGTACCTTGGGTAGACCTCTCTGAGATTTGTTCATTTCATGATGATATCAGCAATTCTCTAATTTTGGTGAATATTTTTGTAATTTTTGGTAAAAAGTGATATTTTTGACTTCTTGTTAAAAACCGCAAGTCCAATTGCTTTGATATTACATATATAGGTACTACATGTGGACCTCTCTCAGATTTGTTCATTTTGTAATGATATCTTTAATTCTCTAATTTTGGTGAATATTTTTGTCATTTTTGGTAAAAAGTTATATTTTCGTCTTCTTGTTAAAAACTGCAAGTCCAATTGCTTTGATATTACATCTCTAGGTACTACATGTGGACCTCTCTCCGATTTGTTCATTTTGTAATGATATCTTTAATTCTTTAATTTTGGTGAATATTTTTGTCATTTTTGGTAAAAAGTTATATTTTTGACTTCTTGTTAAAAACCGCAAGTCTGATTGCTTTTATATTACATATATAGGTACTACATGTGGACCTCTTTCAGATTTGTTAATTTCGTGGTGATATCCTCAATTATCTAATTTTGATGATTATTGTTGAAAACAGCAAGTCCTGTTGCTTTCATACTATACATATTGTTCAGTTTCTAATGATATCTTCTGTTTTTTAATTGAAATGTGCATTGCTAACAGCGGAGCTATCTCAGCCGACAGGCTGCTTGTTTATTGGTACTATACAGAGAGGAGATTGTTTTTAAAATGAATTTTTAGTACATTTTATTTTATGTGTAGATCTTAACGCATCTTCTGCTGAAAACTTCTACAGAAAGTCTAGTAGTGAAAAGGTTAACGTATTATTTGCATGCTTGTAGTACAGTACACATTTATGATGGCAAGATGCTTAGACTGCATACAACTATGTGTCTGTTGTTATGTAACCCTTCCTTGTCTTTATTACAGTGTTTAACACGTCTATCAGAAGAAGCCAGGGAAAAAGAGATCATGGTGATATCACTATGGCGACATGAATTAAAACGTATTATGCTAGATCAGTTATGCCGTAATGCAGATATTACTTGGTTTGAACAAAATATGCAGGATATTATAACAGAGGTAAAGTTATCTTTAATAAAACAATTCCTGTGTAAGCACTTCTGCTTTTCTTGAAATTGTACCTCCAAATATATAAAGTTGCTTGAGGTGTGTGGTGTACTCTTTATTTAGCTGAATTAAACGAATATTAAAGGGAACTAAATAGAGCCTATTTTGGTGTTTGTATTTATCAAGTTATGTATATTGATTATAAATTTGAAAAAAAAATTAAAAAAAATTATTATCTTCAGAGAATATGAGAAACCATAAACCTGCGAAGGACTTCCGTTTGCGCCATCTTGCCAT